CAAAGGGCATCAGGGTAGACCCTAGAGAGTGAAAAAAAAAAAAAAAAAGGAAATGAAAGGAGATTCTAGGACCAGGACCAGTTTTATTCCGGCTGCTTTGATAACAAATTTGTCCAATGATCTTGGGTTTACATTAGCAAGTGCTTTTCTTCTTAGGAGGTATGTGCAGAGCAATTCAGCAAGATATCCACCATGGTGAGACGCACACAGTCAGCTCACAACCCACCCACACAGTTCTTCCCTCTCCTTTCTAGCCTCAGATTGCCCTCCTCTTCTGTAGGCTCTCGATACATGGGGCCCCTCTACTGACTTATTCTTGTCATTGTTTCCTAACCAGAGTATACTGTTTATATTGCATTCACACTGTTTATCTATCACAATTAATCTAAAGGTGTTTAAAGTATACAGGCAGATTGCATAGACCGGCCTCTATAAGGGAACTAAAATACACAGATTGTGTTAGGAAGCTGACAGAGGGATTCTGGGAATGAGTACTCTGTGGATATTGAGGGACAGCTGTATTTTAAAATGTCTGAGGGAGACTGCTCAATCTGTAGAGCACTGGTCTTTCAAGCGTGAGGGCTGAGTGTGATCTCTACAACTCTCATTTAAAAACAAAACAAAACAAAACAAAACAAAAAACCCCACCAGGAGTTGTGGTCATACTTACCTCCCCAGCACAGGGGAGACATAGGTAGATCCTTGGGGCTCACAAGTTATCTGGCTTAGCAGGAACAATACTAGATGTTGCCTTCTGGTCCCCATGTCTATGTAAACATACGTGTGAATACACATCCACTTTAGGAGATTTAATACACAGTTGGGAACAGTAAAGCAATTTAGACATTAGTCAGCAGGGAGATTCATCACAGGTATCCTTTCCAGTAAGTGTCTGCCTGTGGGGACCTTGTCACTTACAGGGTGGGGCTGGGCTTCTTTCATGGTCAGTATAGCTGTGGAACCTCCCACAGCCCATGTCAGAGAAGAAGTACCCAGATCACCTGGCCATTGGTTCAGCCCCTTTCACAAGGACCAAGAATGTGGACTGTCTTTCTCTGGCTACCAGGGATAATTGAACAGTGCCTGCAGCAGTCAGCATGGCTCTGGTCTGTAAACAGAGGCCTGACCTATTTAATTCTTCCCAGGGGTTGGGTAAGAGGCTTGACTCACACAGACAAGAAACTGTGGCCTAATTGGATACTAATTACTCAGAAGAACACTATTTACCCAAACTTGCAGTAAACCAAGCTCCTCACGAAATGAGAGCAGGCAGCAAGAGAAAGAGTCGGCAAGGGACACGATACAGATCAAGACATCACCCTTGAAAGTCCTTTTTAAAAAAAGATATGATGTCACTAATTGCATAAGAATAAACAAAGGCAGGACTGGTGAAGCCCCTTCTGGTCTGAGCATGGCTTTCCGTCCACTTGAAATATTTGCAAATATGTGAGGCTAATGGGAGTGCAGAGCCAAGTCGAAGGAAACAAGTGGGGTTTCCCACAGTGTGGTGAACCCCTTCATGATGCGAGTGATCTGCAAAGGAAACAAATCTCTGTGTGTTCACCAGTTTCAGCAAAGGAGAGGACACCACACCGATGGGCAGCCTTCTTGGGGCTGCGGAGTCAGCTGAGTAGGTTTGAGTGGCAGTGGGGAGCATAAATATGATCCTTTCCAAGGAGGAGACTATGTTAAGTAAACCGAACCTGACACAGGAAGACGAGCGTTATGTTCTTGCTTATGTGTGGAAGCCAGGGAAGGCGGTGTCATAGAGTAGAGCAGAGGTCACTAGAGTCACTGCAAGGTGAAGGGGAGGGGCAAGTGTTAAAGGAAGAGTGGCACTGGATGATATTGTATATTTTATAAAGAACTAGATAAAGTGCTCAATAGTTCCCAATAGTCAATGTCCAAGAGGATGGAAATGCACATTTCACAGTGTGTGTGTGTGTGTATTATAATGTGCCCCATAAATATGTACAATTATAATAACACAAGTCTTTGAAAAACCTGTATATATGGAAGACATGTCAACAATATTTTCAAATGTCAGCCGTTGTAGGTGATTCATTTTAATTTAAGCCTTTTCATTTCATAAGAAATGAACTTCGGGGAAACAAAATTTCTTTGCAGAACAGCAAGTTCCTTTATTCCTTTCCTGTCACCCATTGGTCAGCGTCAGTGTCCTTTGTGACTGTAGACACTATGGCATTAAAGCAGGCTTTAGAAGATGGAACGAATTGCTGGCTGCTCTAGTGAGCAGTATGGCTGATACAGTACACTCAGAAAAAAGCCACACACACCCCTGTGGTATTGTATGAGCCCCCTGTGACTGCTGTGACACAGTACCCATCAGGCCGTAACCACACGTGGTTCTGGTTCCCGCAAGTGTGAAACCCAGCCGAGGTACATTGGAGATCCTCTCCTAGCCTCTTTCTGGTTCCACTGGGACTGTCTCTCACTGGTGCTTTGTGCCTGGGGCTACCCTCCCTCTCCAGCCTCTGCCTGCCTGCCTGCCTGCCCTTTGTCTTCTCATGCTCCATCCTTGTGAATCTTCATGACTTCATTTTCTCACTAATAAGGGCACCAGTCATCGCCTGCTGGTGCAAACCCTCATCCTTCATGACTTTATCCTAATTTCTTTTGCTGGCTCCAGAAAGGTTGTGGGGTTCTGTTTCCTTGCTTAGCCCAGGGACTGAGCACCCAATGCTTAGTTTTGCCCAATTCTGAAATCTACAGAGACCTGTTAGGTGTTGCTGCAGGATATGGAAAAATCTCAGGCCACATGTTCTAGAGAGAGAAAGTGTGGACCAGGCAACAGGGAAGAGAGGGATAGAGAGCTGGTTGCCATGGAGATTCCCTCTCCAGTTTCCATGATACTCCTGCTAACTCCCACGTGGTTCTAGGTTATTTTAGAGTCAATTCATCCCACACAGAGGGGGCTACAGGTGACTGGACAAGCTGGTCTCCTCCCTATATTTGGGGTCCTGTGAGGTGTTAGAAAAGGAAGGGTTTCAATTCAATGAGGGCACGCGGGCTGAGTCCCAGGAGGAAGCAAGTAGGTTCAGGGCCACTGGGCAGGCTCAGCTGCTGCAGCAGCACCTGGCCTTCAGGGGTGCTCTTGGTGCAAGGCAAGTGTTGCAGCTGGGGGTTTCTGACAGCCATGGCTGAGCCTTTGAGATTGTGTGTTCAGGAAGCTCAAGAAAGGGTTTTGAGTGGAGGTCTCACTCAGGAAGCCACACTGGGCCGATGTGGAGACTGCCCTCTGTGGTCCTTCATGTCTGGGGACAGGTGATTCATGCCTTTACCCACCAGCTTGGTTTTCTTTCAGGGGCCGTACATGATGTTAGAAATGCTCCAGGAGCTGGGAGAAGTATTGACCTTGCACGCCAATTTTATCATTCATCTAGCAGGTTTTGTTCAGCCTAATCTTATGATTCAGACTTGAAATTTCATCAGCAGAGGGAACAGGAAAGAATATCCAAATACAAAACCAGCTTCAGATTGGTCTTTGTTTGAGCTAATAGGATTTCAGCAGTTCGTGTGGAGGTCAGAGGTCAGGGGACTGTGAGGGAGGGGAAGCAGAGATGTGGCTCAGCCTCATGTGAACTCAGGAGATGCCCTTACCCTGGCCCTCATTAATTACTTTTACTGTGTCTGAGGATGGGTCCCCATCTGGACCACACCCATCTGGACTACACCCATCTGGACCACACCCATCAGGACCACTGCCATCCTGCCCTGGTGTCTTGGTGCTGATGCCCAAGGAGCCCTGAGGATGCTGTGTATGATGATTTGAATGAAATGCCCCCTATAGTTTCTGGCATCTGAGTAACTGGTCCCACGTTGGTAGCACTGTTTAGGAAAGTTTACGAGGTGTGGCCATGTTGGAGGAGGTATGTCACTGGGGATGGAAGTCAAGAGTTTAAAGATTTGTCCCATTTTGAGTTCACTCTCTACTTCCTGCTTGTGGTTCAAGACTGATTTCTCAGTTCCTGCTCCAGGCCCCATGCCTACTGCTTGCTGCCATCATTGACTCTTAAGCCCTCTGGGACTGTAAGCCCAAACAAACCCTTCTCTAAGTTGCCATGGTTGTGGTGTTGTATTACAGCAATAGAAAGCCATTACCATGCCTTTATACCTGTGGCTGTGTTTTCTGCTCCTCCAGTCCCAGTCTTCAGGAGATGGGGCAAAGTCACCTGCTCCAGGCAGAGGGTGGGTCGGAGGTCAAAGCCTTCCGTTTGCCCAGTTGTATTCCCTGGGAAGGTCTGGAGACAAAGCAAAACCACTCCCAGTCCACACGGTCCCAAGGAACAAATGCCAGGGTATGCAGTGTACAGCAGGTGACCCCAGAGGGAGGGGCTGGGGCAGCTGCGGTCCAGAGGGAGATGCTGCTGCCTCTGGACCTGGGAAATGGAGTTCACCTTAGCCACCTCATCGCATTTGATCTGAAGGGGTCTGTAATTCTGGACAGGAAGTCTTACTTCTCGCTGTTGAATTAGCACAAACTATGTCAATATGACTCACAATTAAGGGGAAAATGCAGAGAAAACTGCCAAGCCTCCAGGGGGCATGTTGGTTTGGATAATTCATAAAACTAGAACATGGGGGCTTCAGGAACAGTGGAGTCCTTGGTTAGGGGTGCCATTGGGACTCGGGACTTCTGTCTTTGGGCTGGTAACGGCTCAGTTCTCAAACAAGATAGCCAAAGGGAATAGAATGGCTGTGGGTGCTGGACTCAAACTCTTGTTGGCTGTTTCTGAGGCAGAACCTGTACTGGCTAGGGTGCCATGCTCGATGGGGGGGGATAGGGATTGGCAGGTCCCAGAGACAGGAAAAGGGACTGGAGATGGAGGCAGGCAGCATCAGACCAAGAGTTGGGAAAGCATGTTTCCAGGGGGAATGTGTTCCTGGCAGCTGGGACAGCCTGGGCCCATATAACTAGTGGAGACTTGGGGAAAAAGACATTTGCGAGTATAAAAATGCACAAAAATCTCTCCCCACAGAACTCTGAAGACTGAAAATGTTTTGTAAATGACCCCAACAAAGGATGGACAATCATAAATAAAGAGAGCTCATGATGGAAAATTACCTACTCTGAAAGCTCCCGCATAATGCCTGTTTCTTAGGAGATCTTCTGAGAGGAAGCAGAGAGGAATTCTTCTGAGGCTGTTTCTAGATCTTTCTATATGGTTCGCACTGGGACAAGGTGTGTCTTCCTCCACTTCTGTGACCCTGCTGTTGCAAGATAGGAGTCCACCCAGGCAGGTTCAAGGGCCAAGAATAAACTTGGATGGGTGGGGTTGGGGGTGTCTTTATTCTGACTGATTTCTAGCTGGTAGCAAGAATATTTTTTTCCCAATTAGTGAACACAGAGAATGCAGGTGGGGTTGCTGGATCAATCATATACACAGCAATTGTATTTGTAGTGTTTTGAGGAAGCTCCATGCTGTTTCCTACAGTAGCTGGTTCACATTCTCCACCTTCTCCATGACACTGTGAAGGCTCTGCTTTTTCCATGTCCTTGCCAAAGCTTGCTGTCTTTGATCTTTTTGATAACTACTGTTCTAACCTGTGGGAGGAGATGTATCATTTGGGTTTTGATTTGCATTTCTCTGCCAGTTACTGACTCTCTGGATGGGGTTAACTGAAGTGAGAAGCTATCCCTAGTGTGGGCAGCACTTTCCCTGGGGTGGATTCTAGGACTGAATCAAAAGGAAAAAGAACTGAGCAGCGAAATCCTCTCTTTCTGCTTCCTGACTGTGGGTGCAAAATGACCAGCTACCTGCTGTTGCTGTTGTGGACTATGTCCTCAAACAGTGAGTGCAGAGAAATCCTTAAGTGGCCTGTGCCAGGTATATGGGCACAACAATAAAAAAGATGACCAATATGCTGAGGTAGCTAACTTAGAAGGAGAAGAAAGCCCATTTTGGCTCACAGTTTCTTCAAAGGTTTCTAGCTACCATCCATCCCTGTTAATGGTCCTGTAGACAGGTTTCTCTATCCGCCATCTGTCCATGTTGATGGTCCTGTAGGGAGGTGGCTCTACCCACCATCCGGCCCTGTTGATGGTCCTATAGAGAGAGCATGTGACAGAATGAAATCATTCACTTCATCATAAGCAGAAGAGAAAGGTCCCTGGGGGTCCTATGGAACTGTTTCCAGCAACCAAAAAGCCTGGTGTGAGGCCTCACTTTTGGTTTTGGAGTGCTAGGGTAGAACCCAGGTCCTTGTCCTTGCTAGGTCAGCTCACTGTTCCTGAGCCAACCCCAGCTCTGTGCTCTGTGATTCTTTTACCTCTGTAATCTCTTCTAACCATCTCTGTAATTAGAGAGGCCTAACCACACTGTGCTTAAAGCCATCCCCATCCCCCATAGGGAACCTTCATAGCACAGCCTTGCTCCTGAGTCAAGTGAGGCTCTTATAAGCTGGGACCTTGTCTATCTGTCTGTCTGTGGCAGTATCTAAAATCCATGGTTCTTTGATGAATGGATGAACCAAAATTAAAAGCCTTATGGTCATATAACACTTAAAAATTATATACAGTGTTTTTGGATTTAGTTGGATTTTTTTTATTATTGTTTGTTCTCCTGGCATGAGTTCATTGAGAAATTCTGTAGATTGAGCCTCTCCTTCCCTCCTGGAGGGAATGTTTCAGTTCAGAAGAAGCTGCCACACAAAGGCCCCTGATGACCTCAGGCTACCTGCCCCTGTTCTTTAGACCTTAGGTTGCTTGTCACTACCTGGGAATTCTCCAGTTGTCACCATTTTCCATCACTCTGTTGGAATGTCTGCAGAGCACTGTGGCCACGGTCTATCTAACCTTGCACTTGATAGAATGCCATCAACTCCGGGGGTCCTCAGGCCTCCAGGGATGTTTTCTCCATTGTTTCATCCCCTTCTTGGTAACAGAGCGGAAGGCCTGAAGGGAGCTCAGTGGGAGCATTCAAAAGACTGGGGTGGAAGATGCTGTAAGACAGAGGCTCTCATCAGGAGAGCCCAGTGCTGTGAGCCCCAGTTTCTAACACAACCTTTGCTGGCATGCTTGTGTCCATGTGGCTCTTCTGGCCTGTGTGTCTAGTTCCCCTGGCCAATGGCTGCCCAAGCATCAGTAGCCAATGGGAGGATAGGAATAAGGGTGTGGACGGTTGTCACCATCTATTAGTAACTCCTCATTGGGCTCTGATGCTATTCCTTCCACCTCCCTCAAGACACAAACATTTCCCCTCTGGCTGCCTTCTGGTATCTTGTGTTTGCGGAAATCAATGGAGGTATCAGTTAGAGGGGATGATGGGGTCCATCCAACAGCAGTAGCTAAACGGAAAGAGTTAAACTAGGACCAAGCGGGGGGTCTGCAGGTGTATGCACCCCTACTGGGAGGGGTAATGCCACCTGGATGGACACCAGAATCTTCAGAACATTTGGGACTGTGGTTCTTCTGGGAATCTGTCGGTTTCCAGAGAAGCGACAGGGGCAGGAGTCCCTGAGCAATTTGTCTTTGGGCTCTTCAGAGCCTGGAGCCTGTCCCAGATGTTCTCCCTTGGCCAAAGCTTGGGACATTGTGACAGTTGTTAATTGTCACTCTGATGGGATCTAGGATCACCTGGGAGATGAGCCCCTGGACTTGCCTGTGGGGCAGTCTTGATTGTGTTGACTGATTTGGGAAGATCCATCTTAATTGTGTACCAGGACATTTTCTAAGGGGAATGCATGAGCCTGTGTGTTGAGTGTGGATATAGTGTGGCCAGGTCATTCAAGTTCCTACCACAGAGACTTCCCCACCGTGATGGACTGTACCCTTGACCTGTAGCCAGCATAAGCCCTTTCTCCCTTTTGTCAGGGCATTCTACCACTGCAACAGGAAGGTAGCTAAGACAGACAGAGAGGGTACCAGCTCTCCCTAGCTCTCCCTCATGGCAGAGATGCCCCTCTCGGCTTCATTCCTGCAGACGTGGGGATCCGGTGAGCGCCATTCCCTCCAAGTCCCCTCTGATCTTTTACTTGTGAGCTTTTCCTTCTTGTGTAGCTTGTTTGACAGCGTGTCTAGGCTTTTTCGTCAACATGCTATTTTTACTCAACCACCCATTATTTTTCCCTTGTTCTTTGATGCTTTTAAGATGTATTTTGCAACATCAGTTGGGAAAGTCGGGAAGGCTGGAGTGCTTTCCAGTTGTTTTCCCAGAATGCCTGCAAGGTCCTGCAGGAAAAAGACCTCTTGGATGTGTAAGGGACACCCGAGGACCTCTGCTCTCTAGAGGGACTTGCAGCTTCCCTAGGCCCCCCTCCTCCCTCCTATGTTCTGATGATCATTCTGATTCAGTGGACACCCTGGAAGGCGGAGCACACTGTGTGGTCTCTTCATTGACAAGGCTGCATAGCTGGACAACCTCTGTGGGTCTCATCCCACCCTGGCCCCACCATCATCAGTAGGATCACTCACAGCCACTCTAGGAACACAGGAGAGACATTGGCTGTGGCAACAGGCCTCCCAAACTCAGAGGCCTCCACGCCTCTGCTCCCCTCCCCTGAAGCCTCCAGGCCAGCTACATGCTCAAAACTGGCAGAATATCCCATCTCCAAGGCAAGCAAATCCCTAGCCACCAGGACTGGCCTCTCTTGGGCTGGAGGGCGAGAGGTCAGCTAGTTCTAGAAGCAGCGTGTTCCTTTCAATACACAATGAAGAGTAGCATGGCCATGGAGTGTACTGGGAATGTGGAAACAGCTCACTCAAGTAGAGCGTCCCCTCTCCCTGGCACCATCCACCCAACATCTAGCATTTCCCAGCAGGGCTGTTGTGTCTGTCTCTGCTCCCCTAAGTAAGGCTGGCCAGATGGAGTGAGGCTCACTCTTAGTAGAGCTGTTTCTGATCACGGGTTCCCTGCCTACAGAGGCCACAGGGATGGCTACTTAGAGCCCCCCTTCACGTTTGCTTAATGTTTTGATATATTTCAGTTGATATAACTGCTGTACTGTTTCCTGTTTATCAGTTGTCTGTGTGCTTTTAAAAAACATCTTCCGCTCTTGGGGCTGCAGTGATGGCTCGGCAGTTAAGACTATGCACTGCTGCAGAGGACCTGGGTTCAGTTCCCAGCACCCTCAGTCTGGGAGGCACCTCACAGTCATTTTAACTCTAGCCCCAGGAGATCCAATGTCCCCTTCTTCCCTGAACACTAGGCATACATATGGTATACATACATGCAAACAGTTGAAATACCCATACACACAAAATAAAAATAAATCTTAAAAAAAAACAAACCTGGCTCTTTTTACCTGGCTCCTTTCTTCCTATCTCCTTTCCCTCCCCTCCCCTCCCTTTCCCTCCCTTTCCTTCCCCTCCAGTCTAGCCTTCTCCCTTCCTCTACTCTCCCTCCCCTTCTAGTTCCTTCCAGTCCTGTTCTCTTCCCTTCCTTCCTCTCCCATATCCTCCCTTCCTTTCCTTTCCCTCTCCTCTCCCCTTCTTCCCCTCCCCTCTCCTCTCCTCTCCTCCTCCTGCTCTTCCTTTCATGTCCTGGTCTGGGACTCAAGCTTGCTCCAGCTTAGGCAAACGCTGCCGCTAACACCAAGCTGCATTTCCAACCCTCTTTTCTCCCCAGTTTCATTTGAGCATTAGATCTGATTGGATTTTGTTTCTGCACTTTGCAATGTAAACATCCTTCATGTTAATTTTTTACAGCAAGAGCCTCCTGAGCCTGTAATATATGTTTAAGATAGATTCCAGAGTGCAGACACGACCAGGGTTACTGACGCTGAATTTAACCTGCTTAGTGTTGGGGGATGTGAGTTGAACCGAATCCTCTCAGAGGTACACACTGAATGAACCTCAAAGTGAGCCTGGACTGGGGGACAGCATCTTTACAGAGGCACCTGGATTAGGATTAGGCCCCTGCAGTGGCTCTGATGCAGGTGGGTGGCATTCTAATGAGCAGGAGAATGTAGGAGCAGCTACACCTGCAAATGGAGAGGAAGCAAAGAGCCGGGCAAAGTAGGTGGCATCTGCACACCAGAGAAAGAGCTGGGGACAGATAATCCTTCCCGTCTCAAAACGTGCCAAACTGTTGACACCCTCATATCACACTTTGGCTTGCAGAACTACGAT